ACATCACTTCCTGATGATGACGTCATCACAGTAAATGAGCGAGCAGAAGATTCCTATAGAATCTTGATGTGTAAGTTTCCATTCATCACTGAGTTCGCTGCAAACAGGAAGTGACCACAGTCAACTCAGCTGCTTTTATTTTGAAAGAATTGGAGATGATCACAATGACAGATTAATCTTCAGAGGGGTCAAAGGGCAATTTTAATCATAGAATGTATTAGTGTCTAGTAAAATGAAAAATCTTGTCAAAGTAAGTAATCGTTTTAAAATTGATTATCAGTTTTTCCTTCAGTCATCTGTGGTGTTTAATTATCAATACATTATTAATCACTTCTCAGCTGTTTAATCGGTTCTAGTTTCATCTTTCATATCAAATATGAAATGAATTCTCGGATCAGACATCACAACAGACTGATCATCATGTGTGATGTCATCATGTGTGATGTCATCAGTGTGAGACGATGAACGATCAATCATCAGTGAGGTTGATCATTAGTTGTAGTTGATGAATGTCAACATGAATTAAATCAGGCTGTGTTCTCTGGTCAGGTTCTTGTTCCTCAGTTCTCCTGGTTGTGTATTCTGCTGCAGATTGTTCAGTTCGGGATGAACGAGAAGGTCGGTCAGGTTTCCTTCGACCTCCCGCGTCAGGGCGAGATGGTTCTGGAGAAACCGTACAGCGAAGCGACGGCTCGTCTCATTGACACCGAGGTTCGAACCCTCATCAGCGAGGCGTACCAGAGAACCCAGCAGCTGCTGAACGTTAAGAAGGCTGAGGTGGAGAAGGTACCAACCATCTGCACTGTGTTCTAGATCAGTGGTTCTCAAACCTTTCTGGCCAAGACACACCTCTACTCTTATTCCTGTATGAGTCGCACACTAATAATTCCCACCATCTTACAACTGCAGTTTGAAAAAAATTGGAGTTCAGAAGGTTTTTTTTAAATTATTTTTTAGGGTTAGTAATTCGCCTCTGTATTAACAAATGAGTGCCTATAAATAACTGCTACAATAGATTAAAAAGTAAACCATAACGTTTTGTGTCAGGCCCCAGATTAACTTTAACATTGCACTGGTGCATCCTGGCGCTGTCAAAATTGCTCCAAAATGACGTTCGAATATTCTCTCTAAAAAAACACATAGGTTCGAACCATTCGAATATATGCGCAATGCGCATTATGTCAATAAGAGGAGGACAAACTAATACAACGAGACATAACTACTTGTCTAGGTATTTTTATTTCAGTTTTAACATAAAACACACCTACACATTACAAAATAAGTAAATAAATATGTGGTGTCTGAAATACTATGTGTTGCCTTCCCTTTAAAGGAAATTTATCTTTGGGTTTGAGGCCCACAGGTCTTGAGTAATCTGGAGAAACCCTGAATATATATGTTAGGACATTAGGTCACAGTTTTAAGGGTTACCCTAAAATCGAGCTGGCGCCTTCTCTCCCTGTTACCAGACAGATGAGAAGAGCTGGATGAAAGCCAGATGTATTTTCTGTAGATTCAGAAAACAACCCTCATATATAAACAAGGAGTTGAAGTTGCCCCCTCAGAAGAGATTCACATTGGCCCCGCATCTCTTTCCAAGCAGACTGCAGTGCTTGTATTGATGCTGAGCGGTGTCAGCGGAGATTCCTTCATCATCTTCACATCATCGCTACCCCAATATACAACAGAACTAACCGTAAAACTTAGACCGTGAATATATATTCGAATTTGGAATATTCGTTGACAGCCCTAGTGCACCCGGAGACATTGTGTATTCTTGGCCATTTACAGAACACAGAGATCTAGAATGTTCTCTAAATGTTGTTTTTTTTGTCTGATGTACACAACCCTATCTTGGAGTTCTGTAGTTTGAAATCTTCTTTCCATGTTAGGGTTTTAGATCATTTGTAAAACTCCTGAATTCTCACTGCGTACTTTTTGTGGTGTTATTCAGGTGGCGCTGCGGCTTCTTGATAAGGAGGTTCTGGATAAAAGCGACATGGTGGAGCTGCTGGGTAAACGTCCATTTGCAGAGAAGTCGACTTACGAAGAGTTTGTGGAGGGAACCGGAGGTGAAGACGAGGACACGACTCTGCCGGATGGTCTTAAAGACTGGAACCAGGAGAGGACAGAGAAGGAGGAGAGTCAGGACGAACAGGTGGCCCGTCAGATCTCTGGAGGAATGCCCTTCTAGAACCGTCTCATGGATGTCTGTGTTCCACCACAAACACAGATCTAACATTCTCGTGTATGAAAATCATCTGGAATATTTCTGAGGTTTAGACCCCTCTCACATACACATCAAGAATGCTTGTTTTCTGTGGAGTTCTGTACCAAACACAAAACTGTCACCCTGTGAAGTTCCTCAGTGTTCTCTTGAATATCTGGGTTCTACCCACCTTGTTTCCATCTTTTTTTCTTTCTGCACCAAAGATCAAACCGTCACCAGATGAAATCAACACATTGTTCTGTTGAACGTTTGGGTTCTACCACCAACAGAAACTGTGACTCATTCTCCAGTCACTTCATCAATCTGGTGTAGAACCCACTCACTCAATTCAATAATTCTTGTCCCAACACATCTGGAACCACAGAGTTTACACACAGTAAACGTTTTATTATTTTCTACGTTGACCCCAAGAGCAGAACATTCAGATTCATACGTTATTGTCTTTGAGAACTGATATATTATACCTAACAATGGTTCTCTATATTGAGGTCATGTTCCAACACCAAATTTGATATCACACAAATGTTCCTAAGCAGGGTTCTACAAGGTTGTAATTTACAATTTCACCAATTATGTCACTACACTTGACACACTGAACCTCTAGAACCTCTGTTATTAAGTTCTAAAACACAGTGTCGTTCTCGTGAGAATTGCTCTTTGCATAAAAGCCTCAAACGCTCTGTGAACGCTTGTTCCATGTCACAGGTTCTAGCATCATCAGAACCACTCTTTCCCCTGACATTACAACGTTTGCTCCAACGTGTGGTTCTAGATAAGTCACAGAATATTCATACATTGAGATAATGTTCTTGAGTCTTTTAGAGCCCTCTCATGCAAAATGTACATGGTCCTAATGTTCTACCGGATGAAACGCATCTTGCAAATCAGAACCAACACAAGAAACTTTTTCAAACTAACTGATGACGACAAGCAGGGTCGTCCACCATTCACATCCTGCACAAACGTCTAGGATGTCAAGTACAACGTGAAAATGTTTCCATACAAAGAACTGTTCTACATCAAAATACTGGAGAACTCTGTTCAGAACCAGAGGTAGAACAGTCGCAGGTTCTCGACCAGGATTTTACAACAGCTGGTTCCTTTTCTTTGGTCTACGCGGGTTGCCAAACCGTTCTTCGTTGCGCTCTAAAGAGGGAACACTGCTCTTGACTCTGGAGACATGAACTAATTTAAACTTGTGAAAGAATATAAATGACTTTTATCACTTACATATCAATGATTATTGATCCTGGTAATCAGAGCTAAGGGTTTGAAGGTTCAGGAAGACGTGGACAACATCTGTCTTCATCTTCATGACACTGATCCTGCAGAGCTGATGGCATAATCATTAGTTGATCAGTTATTGCTTTACACTGTGTGCAGCTGAGTGTAATATGATGTGAAATAATCATAAATAATGTAAATGTGTGTTATATGTTTAAATAAAGCCAGAAAAGCAACCAGGTAGCAATTCTAATAATCAATAGTATCAATAATGTGGCAGTTATTAAAAGCTACAGTGCTTCTGTCTGCCCCATTTGACCGTGAGGGTCATTACACAATA